AAGGGGTGGGTGTAGGGGTGAAAGGACAGGGCCATCACCGTTTCCCTTGCTCTGTTCCTGTGGCTTGGTGGGCCATAGTTTCTTCAGCAACCAACTATGACAGCTGAGGGCCATTGCTGTGGTGCCAATTGGGAAACCTGTGGTGGGCAGAGGCAGGCAGACTTTCCTAAGGAGGAAATGCCATGTGAAAGACAAGCTGGCCTAGCTAGGTAGGGGATAGGGTAATAGTGGAAATGGGCCCCTGAGGGCCAGAGCTGCTGCCTGAGGGGAGTCCACAGGCAGGAGAACATAGGGGGCCTTTTAGGAAGTGAGGAAACACTGGAGGTCAGGTCTCAGTTGGTCTAGATTAAAATCTTGCAGCCCCTCAGGCTCTGCCAGCCTCAGTATCTTCCTGTCTAGACTGAGGCTCGTCAGCTGGTCTAGGGTGGCTCTGGAGTTCTGTTCCTCTGTTTATCTATGGCGCCTGATGTATAAATATAAAGGGGACTGTTTATTTTTTTTCCAACAAAGACGTGTTGGCCTGTCATGACCTCCAGGGGGACACGGTAGTGAATAAACAGACCAGGTTGCTGGCCAGTGGAGCCTGTCTCCTGGCCTTTGGCTGTCCGGGGCTCACCTTTTGGAGGTTGAAGGCTTGATGTGACCCCAGGCATGATTAGGAGGGAAGCTAATTGAGGTGAATACTATGCCTGTGCCCTGTGCGGCAGGTCCCCAGGCTGCAGCCCAGCCCCCCTTGGAGCCTCGTCTGACCCATTTCCCAGATATGCAGGTGAATGTGGCACCTGGCTGAGTCCCTAGCACATCCTGTTGGCTGATGCTGAGCAGCTCTGTGGTATCCTCCCCTGGAAGCGGTGTTTTTCTGGGCTGGTGGAGCAGCTTCTCTGGGTTCTTCGAAACTCCTCTCAGAAGGCTCGATTCAGGTCACTTGCCTGAGTTTCTTTGGGCTGTCTGCCACTTTTTGATTTCTTATTTCTGAGTTAAATCCTGGATTCCAGATGAAAACCATTGCTTCTGAGGCAGTACACCTACTTTTCAAGGTGGCTTATCTCTTCACTTTTTATATTGTGTTCTTTGATGAACAAAAGTCCTGAATTTTTACCCATTTGTCATTCGTTTTTACTCGTGTGTCATTTGTTTCACTTGTAGTTTGACTTTTCAGATTTAGCTTTTATTTTTGGTATGTATGGGTCAGTACACACGGTGAGCATCCATAGCATATTTCCCACATGGACCCATCACCTAGGTACCATTGATTAAAAACAGACTGACTTTCCCCACCCTGCCCTTACCATGATGTCTGCCTAAGCAGGGCTGACTTTGGGTGCTGTCTTTGTTTCTTGGGCTGTTTGTTCCCATCAGTGCCACAGTGTCCTATTTCGTCTCTTAAGTCTTGATTGCAGCTAGCACAAGCCCTCCCACTGTTCTTACAGTGTGTCTTCTTGACTGTGCTTGAGGAGCAGCATGTCAGTCAGGTATCTGTTCACACGCATGCACCCCCTAATCCGTGAATGTGGTATGTCTCCCTACTGATTTGTCTTCCTCAGTGCCCCTTGGTGAATGCCCATCCTTTTCCCAGCTCTGCTTGGATTTATTCTGATGTACTTTATGAAGAGACCAGGGGGTCTCTGCCCTCCACTGCCACCAGGCATCTGGCTACCTGGGTTTGGTGTTTGAGGGAAAGGATTGCACAGCAGGGGCAGGGGCACACCCCCCCATCCCCTGCCTTTTTCCTGGCACCAACCTTAGGCCCTGGCAGAGGGTGGGCAGGGTGCCCAGAGAGGAGGCTGTAATTTTCCTGAACGATTTCAAGGGCTAATTAAAGGTTTTCCTTGACTAATCAGCTTATGGTTTAATTATCAAGGAACAGGCTCAGGGATGCGGGAAGCAGCCTGCTGGGGTCTCCCTAAAGTGTGCTGGGGCCCAGTCCTGGGGTGACAGGATCTGGGGACACCCCAGTGATACCCCAGTACCCTCTAGCAGGTCAGCAAGGTCACCATCCTTGTGAGAGACAGAGGTGGAGAAGAGCAGGTAGGTTTGAGGTTAGAGTAGCACCCTTTCTTGCTGCAGATGCTTCCCTGGCTCCCACCAGGCACCCATGGCCTTCTACCCCTTGCTCTCTTTGCACTTGCCTACAGTCCTCTGGCTGAGGCTTAGCACTGTCATGGCATTTCCTCGTGGGTTCCTTAGAAATCCCTCTCAGGTGCCCTCCTGCCCAGCTGGGGAGCAGCACTGCTAGCCTGTGCTGACTGGCTGGTGGTCATAATTGCACTGCCACTGTCATTCTGCCCACACTGATAAATGCCCTCAGTGATGCCAGGTCCTGTGATCAAGGGCCCCTGAGGGAATAATGGGTTCTAGAGCCAAGCTCCAGGGAGAAGACCTGGAGCAAGGGGGTAGAGACAGGGAAGATGGGCTTAAGTGATGGCCAAGGCCTTCCCAGGGGAGATGGTGAGCTGATGTGGTATATGCTCCTGTGGGGTGCAAAGGAGGAGGGGGCCTGGAGATTGCTGTACCAGGCCTGGCTTCATTCCTTGCATTCCTGCAGGCCCTAGACTCCTAGTGGCTCTAGGTGGGGGAGGGTGGACAGCAGGAGAAGGGCCTCTGGATCCTGCCCCTGCACCTTCTCCCTCCTCCCACCTCATCAGCCTGCCTCACTTGGCACCCTCCCCTCCTTCAGACTCTGAGGCCTGGCTCTGCAAGCCGCCCCTCCTCTTGCAGTGAGAGCTGCATGCAGAACCACATGGGGTAGAGTGTGGGCACAGGGCCCAAGCCTAGGCCATCTGAATCCTAGTGTCTGGCCACGGGAAGCATAAAGCTTCTTTGAGCAAGTGAGAAGAGAGCTACTGGCTGGAAGGAATGATAGCAAAAGTATCAGATTTCTGACATTCCTGATGCTTTTTTAGGCTTTTCACATGGAGTGATTAAGTCATAGCATACTCTAGGGAAGCAAGACTGTTATCCCCTAAGTTAGAGGTAAGGCAGCTAAGACCCATAGCTTGAATTTATAAAGTCTTCCTGCCTCAGTCTCCTGGGTTGCTGGGGCTACAGGTGTATGTATTTGTTTCCCTCCGCACCTGGAGAAAGCTTTACAGGCTTCTGCGTTTTGAGACAGGATCTACCTAAAGCTGGCTGAGAGGAGATAGCTTCTGCAGGCCCAGGATATGCTGCTAATGGGAAAGATGCTGATGTCACCAGGCTGGCCTTCCTTGCTGTTTCTGACACCTGGAGTCTGGAGGAGCTGGAGGGAAGAGCACACAGGGCTGGTAGTTGTTGGGGCCAGTTTTGCAACCCAACAGGGGGGACACCACACCTCTTTTGGGTCCCAGAATCAGGTCATCCACTCTTTTTTATCATTTCTGTCTTGTGTGGGGTCCGACTGCCTGCTGGCCCATACTTTAATTCCACAAGCAAAGGCTTGTGCTGAAGATGTGCATATTGCATTGCAAGAGCCTTTATGATGTTATGTGGATAAGGGGAGTGATAGCTAGTGTTCCTGTGCATCCCAGCTCACTGAGGACCGAGAGTTGAGGGTTGCACTTGCCTTCTCTTAGGCCTTCTCTGGGGAAGGCTGGGGTCCAGCTCCAACATAGCTTCCTCCCTGATCTCAGGCAAAGGCTGAGCCTCAGATGTCCCTGAGTTCCTACGTCTGGAGCAGGAGGATAATGACTCTTGCTGTGGGCCAGGGTTGCTGGAAGATTAAGTGAGTCAGCGTGTGCATGCAGCTCAGAACAGGCTGCTGTCATCACATCATTATGGTCCCTATTACTGGTATTACCATTACAGTTATTAGGGAAGCAGGGTGCAGGCAGCTTGGATTTGGTAGTTAGGATTCACAGTGTGAGTGATCCAGCATTCCTTACTCTATGATTAAGGTCATATCTCCTTTTACAAACTTTTTTTTTTTTTTTTTTTTGCACAGTACTATAGGTTGATTTTAAGATAAGATTTTGCTAAGTTGCCAAGTTGGCCTTGAATTTGCAATCCTCTTGTCTCAGCTTCCTTAGTAGCTGGTTTTACACATGTGCACCACTGTACCCAGCTTATAAAATGTTGAACACCTTTGTTTATGGCAATATTCACACAGACTCAAAACATGGTCTCCTTTCCACCCCAGGTCCTTGTCTCTAGCTTCACAGGTCCCTGTCACAGCCAGGATTTGTCATCTGTTCCCCAGCCCCCACTTCCTCAATTACTTAAAACAAGTATGTTATAAGGGCCAGGGATATTGCTCAGTGGTACAGTGCCTGCTGGCAAGTGCACGGTCCTGAGTTCGATTCCCAGTACAAAAAAAAAAAAAAGCCGTATCATATGCTTTAGCTAGGAATATTTCAGATTTGTCTATAAATAGGAATTCCTTAATGTCCTCATATTTCATGATTGTTTTACAATCCTTTTATCTTTCTGTTTGATAAGGGTTCAGAATAGGTGTGCACTTGACACATGGTTGAAAGGCCTTTTACATCTTCTATCTCTATCGCATTTCTGGGGTTTATTCATGGAGGAGCTGGGCCCTTTGTGCGGGACAGTTTCCCACAGTCTGGATCCTGCATCTTCATCCCTGTGGTGTCATTTCCTAAGTTCTTCTGTCCCCTGTGCTGCCCATAGGCTGGGAGTTAAGCCCAGAGGCTCCATATGATACGAGCTCAATTTGTCCAGAGAAAAACACTTTCAAAGGAGATGTATGACTATCAAGTTAGCTTTGAAAAATAATTAAAAAGTTAAAGTTTTAAGATAATCTGTGTATGGTGGTACACATCTGTAACCCCAGCAGTTCAGGAGGCCATGGCAGAAGGATTATAAGCTCAAGGCCAACCTGGGCAACTTGGAGAGATTCTGTCTCAGAATAAGAATTTTTGTAAAGTGCTAAGCATGTAACAGCTCAGTTGGAGAGCACTTGCCTAGCATGCACAAGGCCCTAGGTTCCATTCCCAGTAGTGCAGATAAATAAACAAATGTGAGTGGATTAAAACAATAACAAAAACCTTCATTGTCACTCCCAGGAAGACCAGTACCGGGATACAGGAGAAGTAGGGCAGGAGGGCCTGAAGGACCAATGCCTGGAACCACCCTGGGCTCTGAGTGTGGCAGCCCTGACCTCCTGTAGATGAGTCGCTTTGGGTTCCTGCTTTGCAAGAGCTATAGTCCTGAGTGAAGAGCTGCCATCCACGTGGCTTCAAGGTCAGCTTTTGGGGAAGAATAAGTTTCTGCCCAGCCCCACCCCTGGCCAGCTGTGCCACTGGGCAACATTCCCAGTCTCTCCGCTTCCTCCTCCTCTATAGCAGGTTGGTGACCGCATGTCCCCTGGAGGACTGTGGTGAGGACTGTTGTGCTTAGGGAGTGGCTGTTATTCTTCTGGGCTTAGGGGCAGATCCCTTTGACCTCAGCCAACCCCCTTCCTCCCTCTTAGCCTTTCGACTGTCCACTGTCTACCCCTAAGCCTTCTCAGTGGCTGTTGCCTGTCCCCTGAATGCTTGCCCCACCCCACCCCCACATGGACCTTTGCTGTGTCTGGTCTCTGCTTGGCACCCCTTCAGGAACCTCCTTAACTTTGCCGTCTGATAGAGTACCTGTCACTCTGTGTTCTCTCCCTGTTTATTGTCTTGTGTGTGGTCTTACCCACTAGAATGTCAGCTCCAGGCAGACAGGGCCTCTGTCTTGCTGTCACATTCCCACTGTCTAGAACGGTGCCTGTCACCCAGTAAGTGCATGATAAAGAGGTTTTGATATGTGGTTGAGAGAACAGCCTGGCTTAATGAGTGGACTTTGATCAGTGTCAGACCTCAGACTTGCATAGGCTCATGGTTCTGATAAACACTGTGGGCCTGCATGGGCACCTGCCCTTCGGAGCCTCTTTGTCCTCTTCTGCAAAATGGATCCTTAACAGCACCTTCCTGGGGCTCTTGTTTTGCTCTAGGCACCTGCACGTAACACTTTGTAACCAGCCTCACTGCTGTGCTGCATTGTCTAGCATGGGGCACAGATGCGCCAGTCGGGGCTGTCTCTGCCACGGGAACACTTCTATCCTGTGTGGCCAGCTGTGATACTCTGGGTTGGGCCAGGGCAGGGACATGTTGGACTGCTGCTTTGAAAGCTCGGAAGACTTCCTGGGTGTGTGATAGGAGCAGGACTGAGTGCCCAGTATGCAGAAAGGTCTGGGTGTTGTGGCCACAGCCTGAGGGTTCAGGGGCTGGCTGTGTCCAGGCTTTTGTCTTCCTTGCAGGAAACAGGCCAAGAGTTGCAAGGGGCCAAGGTGAGTGCTGTGATTGTGGCAGCAGTTACAGTCTTGAGGAGGGAGGGGACAGAAACTAAGAAGGAGAGACAGAGACTGTTGGCAGGCATGTGCAGACACGGAGAGCTCCCGTGGGTGGAGCTCACACTCCTTGGTTCTCTTGCATGGTAATGTAAGACCTGACAAGTATGGAAAGTGCAGAAACCTCTGTGCTCAGTTGTTTGTTTTTTTATTTTAAAGAGGAAAAAAGAAAGAAAATTTCAAAACAAGATAATAGGAGGGTAACAGTGGTTAATTTGTTGTGTGTTGTCTTTAAATTACTCAAAGAACAAGATACTGGCATTTAATTGTCTAAATAATATTAGCACAAGCCTTTCTTTTTGATAACCTAAAAGAAATTAGTGTATATATATATATATATATATGTATGTGTAACTACCATATATATACATATATGTATGTACGTGTATGTGTGTGTGTGTATATATTGCTTGTTCCCTTTCCTTTTTCCATTCACCCATCCCAGTTTCTCATACTCATAAGAAATAAATCATATACACGTGTGTAAACATCGTATTGTCTCCAAGTGTGAGAAGCTGAAAGAGTAAATAAGATCCAAAGATCCAAAATGTAAATACATAAAGTAGATATTGTAAAATGGGAAGAAAACTCCATGGTCAGTTTTGTGAATAATTATCAAGCAAATGCCCCTGAAGTTGCCTCTCAGAGCAAGAGGACAGGCATTAGAAGTCCCTCCTTGAGCTCTTTGCAGTATTGTCAAATATATTCAGCCCCCTCTTCCTCATCGCTTTGTTTTTGGTGAATTTTCAGATACCCTAAGGGAACATAGAATCACTAGCTGGAAGCTTCTTGCCCCCGGTATCAAGCTAAGAGATAAAGCCAGCCTGTGTGGTTACAGTCCCCAGGGACTGTCTGAGGTGCCTAAGCCTCCCTGGTCCCTGCCTACTCCCTGAGTAGCCGCAGCATCATTGTTCAAAAACTATATGCAAAAGGTACAGGGTGGGTAGCATTGGGCTGCAGCTTATTCTCAGTATGTTGATCTTGAGATTTCCTTGGGTGGTTAAAGCAAGTGCTATGCCAAGAAGAATGCTCCACAGCAGAGGTGAGAGGTGCCTCTCAGCCCTCTGAAAGTAACTGAGCAGAAGGGTGGAGGTGGGCTGTTGCTGCCCACAGACAGCATGCAGGTTGCAAGTGGGTGGATGGGATTCAGATGGGCCCCAAGTGCCTATACAGCATATAGGGTTTTGGTGGCACCCATGTCTGTGTGGAGGAAGGAATGGGTCGGGAGCTAGGGGCAGGAGGGTCGTCATTTCTTCCCCAGGCACATGCTATGTTTTCTGAGGATACCCTCTGTCTGGGTGGAGGTTGCTGTCAAAGGCTCCAGATCAGCTGGCTTGGCTTCTGCCACCTGGCCCTGCTCCCTGCTAGTATGAGGGTAGGTACAGATTATCAGGTTGAGTGACCTCAGACATGTAGCAACTTCTATCCCACTTCTGTTGACCTCTGTTTCTCCCCTTTGGAAACTGATGGTTTAGGGTTATTTCATTCATGTAAAGTACTCATAAGAGCTGGCATGTGAACCTGTCAGTGTCAGCTGTCATTAGTATTGCTATTATTACCATTCAGTGGCTAGTCAGTGTGTATCTCCTATGAAACCAACCCTGGCTGCACCCACCCTAGCAAACTGGTGGTGATCTGTCAAACCCTGCTCTCATGGAACTTGTGGAAGGCAGACACTGCAATGACAGCTGTGTTGGGGGAAGCCCAGAAGAATGTAGGATGGGAGGGCCTGGCTCCAGGCTAGAAAATCAGGGAATGCTTCCTTGAGGAGGAAACATGGGCTAAAGAATTAGTTTCTTTCTTTCTTTCTTTTTTTTTTTTTTTTTTGGTGGAACCAGGGATTGAACTCAGGTTCATGTTCAAAATCTAATGTTCAAAATCTAATGTGGCTGGGGAGATAGCTCAACGACTTAAGCACCTGCTTGGCAAGGGTAAGGTTCTGAGTTTGAGCCTCAGTAACAAAAAAAAAAAAAAAAAAAAGGCACTTTCAAAGGCTAATGTGGGGAAGGGCCTGGCATTGTTAATAATTTTCCTTTGTCTTTTGTTTTTTGAGACAGGGTCTTGCTATGTATGTAGTTCAGGCTGGCTTTGAACTCATGTTGTTCAGGCTGGCCTTGAACTTGAGGGAGTCCTATCTCAGCCTCCTGAGTGCCAGATCACAGGTGTGTGTCACCATGCCCAGCTTTTAAATTATTAATACTTTACATGTTTTATTTAAGATAGTTATAGATACATATGCAGTTGTGTGTGTAAGCACTATCTGGTGCACCCTTTACCCAATTTCCCTTAGTGGTAACATCATCCAAAACTGTCTCCAAGGTCAGAGCAGGATGTTGGCCTCCGTGCAATGGAGACACAACATACCATCATCCTCCACCCCAATATCGCCTAACCTTTCCCCAGGTTTGTACTTCTGTTGTTTCAACATTTGTGCAAATAGAATCATACCATATGCAGCCTTTCGGAATCAGCTGTGCTCATGCAGTGTGAGTCTCTGGAGACTCAAGCAAATCGCTGTGTGTATCAGGAGTTCACTCCTCTTTCTGGCTGGGTGGTGCTCCAAAGTGTGTTTAATCATCCACCCAGTGAAGGACATCTGCTTGTTTCTAGCTTTTTGGCTATTATGAAAAAAGCTGCTACAAACATTCACACACAGCTTTTTGTGTGGAACATAAATTTTGTTTCTCTGGGGCGAATACTCAGAAGTGCAATTGCTGGGCAGGATGGTGGTTGCATGTTTTACGAAAGTCTCCAGACTGTTTTCCAGAGTGGCTATACCACTTCAAATTCCCACCAGCGATGTGTGAGCGATCCTGTTTCTCTGCAGCCTCATCAGCATTTCGTATTGCCACTGTTTTTTATTTTAACTCTTCTAATAAGTATGTGGTGATATCTTCTTGTGGCTTTTATGTGCATCTCTTTAAAAGCTAATGATATTGAACACCCAGTCATGTGCGTATCTGCCATCTGTGTATCTTGGTGGAATGTCTCATGTCTTCTGCTCATTTTCTTATTGGATTATTTGGCTTAGTACTGTTGAGTTTTGAGAGTGCCATGCCTACCGTAGATGCTGGTCCTTGAGGAATTTACATTGAGATTTTCCCTCTTTTCCATCTCATCCCCTCTCCTGTGTGTGTGTGGGTGTGTGGGTGTGTGGGTGTGGGTGTATGTGGGTGTGGCTGGCTCAGCCCACCATGGGGGCAGGGCTGGTTTGGCAGGTGGTACTGGGGATCAAACCGCTTTCCCTGTGTACTTGCCTAAGCTTGCTTAAGCAGGCGCTTTAGACCGTTGAGCTATCTCACTGGCCCTGATGCTGGTCCTTGGTCAGGTGTGGTTTGCAAGCATTTTTCCCAGTCTGTGGCTTGTCTTTGTATAAAGTTCTTCACATAGACTTTTGCAGAGGTTTAGTTTTTAACTTTGATTAAATCATTTATTAATTTTTCCTTTTGTGGATCATGGTTTTAATGTCAAGTGTAAGTAAGAACCCTGTGTCTTGTGCTAGATCCTGAAATTATTTTTCTAAAATGTTTAAAGTTTTACATTTTACTTTTAAGGCCATTATCCATTATGAGTTAATTTTTGTGGGAAGTATAAGGTTTAGATCAAGATTCTTTGTTGTTGTTGTTGCCTGTGGATGTCTAGGTAGCCCTGCACCATTTGTTGAAGCCGTTCTTTCTTTCACTGACTTTGCTATGCTTCTTTGTCAAGAATCAGTCACTAGTATGAGATACCACTTCACATCTACTGGGGTGACTACTACCAAAAACCAAACCAAAACAGAACTAACAAGTGTTGGGAGGCTGTGGATAACCCTATCCATCACTGGGGGATTGTAAAATGGCACAACCAAGAGGAAGCAGTTTGACAG